CCCCTTATCAGATACATCCTTGGCAAATATGTTTTCCCAGACCGTGGGGTTCCTTTGTATTTTGAGGCTGTTTTCTTTTGTTGTGAAGAAGCTTTTTAGTTTGATGTAGTCCCATATGTTTAGTTTTTCTTTTGTTTCTCTTCCCCTAGGAGATGTCTCAGTGAAAAGTCCACTACGTGGGATGTCTGTGACTTTACTGCCTATGTTTTCTTCCAGGATTTTTATGGTTTCGTGACTTACATTTAAGTTTTTTATCCATTTTGAATTTATTTTTGTGTATGGAGTAAGTTGGTGGTCTAGTTTCTTTTTTTGCATGTATCTGTCTAATTTTCCCAACACTATTTATTGAAGAGATTGTCTTTACTCCATGGTATGCTCTTGCTTCTTTTGTCAAGTATTAATTGATCATAATGGTGTGTGTTGATTTCTGGGGTCTCTGTTCTGTTCCATTGATCTATATGCCTGTTGTACCAGTACTAGGCTGTTTTGATTACAGTGGCTTTGTAGTATAGTTTGATATTCTGTATAGCGATCTGCCCAACTCTGTTCTTTCTCAAGATGGCTTTGGCTATTCGGGGTCTTTTTTGGTTCCATATAAAGTTTTGGAATATTTTTTCTAGTTCTGTAAAATATGCTCTTGGTATTTTAATCTTACTTTTATGTGAAATCTAAAGAACAAAATAAATTGATGAACAAGATTGGACTACAGACGTGGAAGCATGAAACAAACTGACAGATCTCAGAGGGAAGGTGGGAAGAAATTAACCAAAGAATTTATAAGCATATGAGTAGCCCATGGACAATAGATAGGTGAAGGCCTGGGGTGGAGTGGGAGGTTGATGGAGGGGGCCAACAGGGGAGAAATAGGAGACATCTGTAATACTCCCAACAATAAAATAAATTTTAAAAAAATGGACATTGTAATTTCGATGTTTTTGAGTTTCTGTAGTCTTCTATTAGAGAGTGCTTGGCATTTTTCTCTACAGGCATTTAAGTCACTTTATTTTTATGTATATTTATTTAAAATAAATAAATTTATTTGTTAAGGTGTGTCTTAAGTACCCTTTAATTTATGTATGGTTTTGACCCATTGCTAATGTTTGACCCTTCTCTGGTCTTTACTGAATGCCATCAGTTATACTTGAAGACTCTCTACTCTGTTTTGTCTGTAATTGCATGCTTTCTAGAGCTATACGATCACTGGGGACTGTTTAATTAATAGCTTCTCACTCTTTGTCTGGCCTTGTGGAGTTGTACATTTTAGTATTCAGCTAAAACTCACAGTGCCTCTCATCTTGATTTCCAGAAGTCTTTTTGTGTAGTTTTTCTCTCTCTGTAGTTTCTGTAGTTATTCATCCATCTCATTTTCACCTTTGTCTCCTCAACTCAGCACAACTCCAGTAATCTGCTTGGGATACTCTTTCCTTGATTCTGGATAGTGACTTCAGGCAGCAATCCAGGGGGAATATAGGGCCCTCCTTCTTGTTTTTACTTCTCTCAGGGATCAGTGTCCTGTTGGGGCATGTTATCCAGTGTCTGAAAATAATCTGTTTCATATATTTTGTCTAGTTTTCTAATTGTTACAGCAGGAGGGTAAATCTGCTAATATTCAATGCATCATTTCATAATACACAGCAGAAGTTGGGCTCCACCTTTTCAATATGTTGTTTAAATGGTTTTGTTTCCATTTCTTTTGTCAATTCATATGTGGGATACATTTCATGTCCTTATTAATTCTTTACTGTAGCTTCATTTATCATCTTCTCTAAGTTCTCCCATTTCATTGCCATCTATTTTTATTAGTTATATAAATTTTCTTTATAGCTTGAGTGCATAAACACATCTGCTTAGTAATAATAAGTGGACAGTTTCTTTATAAATTATCTCCTATAATTGGGAGGAAGATTTACTAATCCCTAATCCTGAAGACAGCACTTAATAACAAAAATATCATATAAATCACTAATAAACTTATGGTTCCAAAGTCTTAGTTAAAGCTTTCTGTATTAGTTTTTTTAATCCTCACCTAAGGATATATTTTTATTGATTTTTAAAGGGAGAGGGGGAGGGAGG